GGGACAGCGGCTCGTCCAGGCGGCGGGCCAAGCAGCACCGTGGACAGCGGTCCGGAGGCTGTTGGGAAAGACACTGCATAGCCATAGTCTCCTGTGGAAAGCGCAGTTGCTGCGGACAGCACTGGCCTTACCGCAGGAGTTTACAGAGAAAGAAAGCATTTGCGCCGTGACCTCATGCACCTCAAGGTCACCGGCCACGCCCATGTGTAGTCTGGGAGTTATGCGTGCATCACCCATGAGCGCTCACAGAGAAGCCTGGTACATGCAGTGTGGTGGGTGGAATTCTCAGATGGTCCCTCCTTTTTTTGTTAAATTATATTTTTATTGATTTCAGAGAAGAAGGAACAAGGAGAGAAAGACAGAAACATCAATGACGAGAGAGAATCATCGATGGGCTGCCTCCTGCACACCCCACACTGGGGAGCGAGGCTGCAACCCCAGCATGTGCCCTGACTGGGAATTGAACCGTGACCTCCTGGTTCATAGGTCAATGCTCAACCACTGAGCCACGCTGGTCGGGCTTTTTGTTGTTGTTAATTCTCACCTGAGGATATTTTTCCATTGAGTTTTCGAGAAAGTGGAAAGGAGGGAGGGAGTGGGAGAGGAACACTGATGTGAGAGACACATATCAATCCTTTGCCTCCTGCACGTGCCCCCACGGAGCCAGGGATGGGCATGAATCTGCAACCCAGGTGCATGCCCTTAACCGAGAATTGAATGTGCGACCCTTCAGTGTGTGAGTCAGCACTCTAACCACTGAGGACAATGGCCATCACGGTCCCTCATTTTGATATGAAATCCATATATATTAACCAATTCTTTTTTTTTTATTTTTCGCTATAAGTATTACAAAGGGTATTACATAAGTGTCCTTACCCCCCAGTGTCTTATGTCCATTAGATATGGTTATATGGATGCATACAAGTCCTTCGGTTGATCTCTTACTCCCCTCCCTCCTGTCCCCCAACCCTCCCTGGCCTTCCCACTGCAGTCCGACAATCGGTTTGAGGCAGCTCTGCCACTGTATTTATTATTGTTTGAAAGTTTGTAATGGTCTTAATTATCCATGAAAGAGTGAGATCATGTGGTATTTTTCCTTCATTGACTGGCTTGTTTCACTTAGCATAATGCTCTCCAGTTCCATCCATGCTGTTGCAAATGGTAAGAGTTCCTTCTTTTTAACAGCAGCATAGTATTCCATCGTGTAGATGTACCACAGTTTTCTAATCCATTCATCTACTGATGGGCACTTAGGCTGTTTCCAGATCTTAGCTATGGTGAATTGTGCTGCTATGAACATCTGGGTGCATATATCCTTTCTGATTGGTGTTTCTGGTTTCTTGGGATATATTCCTAGAAGTGGGATCACAGGGTCAAATGGGAGTTCCATTTCCAATTTTTTGAGGAACCTCCATACTGCCTTCCATAGTGGCTGCATATATTAACCAATTCTTTTCTTTCCCCATCTTCCTGTTCTGCTACCATTTAACGTAAGATGCATTCGTATGTGTTACTGTGGCTCAGGGTTAAGTGGCAGGCTGTCCAAGACTGGCCACTTTCCAACAAGGACAGGAAAGGGCAGCACCCAGGGACAGTGAACAGGGAATACGGGGCTTCGTTTCCTCTTTGGGGAGGAGGGCTGGCACGTTTCCGGCTGCCTGTGAGATATTTCACTCTGTGGAGGGGAGGGCCGTTTTGTCCTTTATTTGCTCACAGCAGTCCAAGGAGCCATGTGTGGTGGGTTGTGGTGAGTTTGGTCTGTCATCTGAGCTAAGCTCTCACTACCCTTCTCAGGACCCTCTTCCCGGGAGGCCCTTGAGGAGGGTTGGTCATGACAGGAATTCACACGGTGCTTGGGAAGCAGGACGGAGCGGCAGTCCTCAGGGCTGGAAGGCAGGAGCCGGGCCCGGTGAGGAGCACGCTTGCTGCCACCGGCCTGAGGACAAGGCTTGGCAAGCCCTGATTGAGGTGTGGGAGGGCGTGTGTCCTGTTGTCGCAACTTCTGGGACAGATGTTTCTGGGCTGAGAGGGGGGGCACCCCGGGTAGGGGCCGTAGTGACAGGGAGCTCAGGGCACGGGGGCCCACGAGACCAGCATGTGCCTTTGGCAGACCGATTCCCACTGTGGGCTGGGCCAGCAGGTGGGAAGTCGTGCTGGATGCGGCCCCAGCTCTTGGAAACCCCCTGACAGCTTCCTGGTGCCGCTGGGCTGAGGTCTAGGTAGGGTCCTGCTGGGCACCAGAAAGCTGTGAGGGTCAGGTGTGCATTGATGACAAATGTGTTTCATGCCCGGGGTCAGGGGCTGTTTTAATTTTTTAAAATGTTTTTATTGATTTCAGAGAGGAAAGCAGAGGGAGAGAGAGATAGAAATATCAATGATGAAAGAGAATCATAGATGTGCTGCCTCCTGCACACCCCACATTGGAGACGGAGCCCACAACCCGGGCATGCGCCCTGACCGGGAATCAAACCGTGACGTCCTGGTTCATAGGTCAATGCTCACCCACTGAGCCACGCCGGCTGGGTAGGGACTGTTTTATAAACAGACAGAATGAGAACAGAATGAACTTCAAGAACCGACTCCCGGCCCAGCCAGGCACCCACACACTCAGGGGAATCATGGACCATGGACTGTGGTGCCCGGACTCCCTCCTGGCCACCCAGGGGCCTGTGGATGGGGCTCCAGGGTGCAAATCCAAGGGCAGAGGGAAAAGTCAAGACCTGCTCCCTTGGGAACAGCCAGGAGACAGCTGCGACCCAATGGTGGGCTCCTGAGTGTGGGGTGGGGCTGGAGGGTGGGGCTCAGGGTAGAAGGCCCAGCAATGATGCTTTTGAGGCTCTGAGACCCTCATCTCCTACCCCTGATTAACGGACAGGTATAAGGGTCCTACCTGCCTGGAGGGTCCTGTCTGCCTGGAGGGTCCTGTCTGCCTGGAGGGTCCTGTCTGCCAGGAGGGTCCTGTCTGCCTGGAGGGTCCTGTCTGCCTGGAGGGTCCTGTCTGCCTGGAGGGTCCTGTCTGCCTGGAGGGTCCTGTCTGCCTGGAGGTTCCTGTCTGCCAGGAGGGTCCTGTCTGCCTGGAGGGTCCTGTCTGCCTGGAGGAGCCTGTCTGCCTGGAGGGTCCTGTCTGCCAGGAGGGTCCTGTCTGCCTGGAGGGTCCTGTCTGCCTGGAGGGTCCTGTCTGCCTGGAGGAGCCTGTCTGCCTGGAGGGTCCTACCTGCTGGAGGGTCCTGTCTGCCCGGAGGAGCCTGTCTGCCTGGAGGGTCCTGTCTGCCTGGAGGGTCCTGTCTGCCGGGAGGGTCCTACCTGCTAGAGGGTCCTGTCTGCTGGGGGTCATGAGGAAGCAGCCGAGAGCTCTGTTCTCTTAGAGGCAACTTTCTAGGTGACCAACAGGTAAAAGTG